GACTACTCAATGGAGGAAAAGAGCTCTTTCAATAAACTGTGCTGAGAAAATTGGATACTCACATGTAGTAGAATGAAACTAGACACCTATAACACCACAAAAATAAACTCAAAATGAATGAAAGAATTAAATGTAAGGCTGGACACCATAAAATTTATAGAAGAAAAAAGAGGAAAAAAGCTTTTTGACATAAATGTTGGCAATGGTTCTTTGGATATGACATCTATAGCATGAGCAATTAAAGAAACAAGCAAATAAAAATGATCAAGTGGGACTACGTAGCTTAGTTGGTAAAGAATTTGCCTGCAATGCAGGAGACCCTGGTTTGAATCCTGGGTTGGGAAGATCCTCTGGAGGAGAGATAGGCTACCCACTCCAGTATTCTTGGGCTCCCCTTGTGGCTTAGCTGGTAAAGTATCTGCCTGCAATGAGCAAGACCTGGGTTCGATCCCTGGGTTGGGAAGATCCCCTGGAGAAGGGAAAGTCTACCCACTCCAGTATCCTGGCTTGGAGAATTCCATGGACTGTATAGTCCATGGTGTCACAAAGAGTTGGACACAACTGAGCAACTTTCACTTTCTCATAAAACTGAAAAGATTCTCCATAGTAAAAGAACTGATCAACAACATAAAAGGCAATCTACAGAATGTGAAAATAGATTTACAAACCATATATCAGAGAATAGGTTAATATCCAAAATAATAAAGCTCATATCACCCAGTAACAAGAAAATTAATAATTCTAAATAGACTTTTTTCCCAAAGAAATTAAATGGTTCTTGAGGTATATGGAAAGGTGCTCAATATCACTAGTCTTCAAAACCACAATATCATCTCATGCCTGCTAGAATGGATAGCATCAAGGAGACAAGAGATAACAAATATTGGAGAGGATGTGGAAACAAGGGAAGCTTTGTGTGCTTTGTGTTGGAATGTATATTTGCTTAGTCACTGAGGGTGACAGTATGGAGGTTCTTTAAATAATTAAAAATAGAATTTCTATATGATCCAGCAATTCCACTTTTGGGTATTTATCTAGAGGAAATGGAGGCACTAACTTGAAGATAGTAGTAGTAGTGTTAGTTGCTTAGTCGTGTCTGACTCTTTGTGATCCCATGGACTGTAGTCTGTCAGGCTATTTTGTTCATGGAATTCTCCATGGAATACTGGAGTGGGTAGCCATTCTATTCTCCAGGGGATCTTCCTGACCCAGGGATTGAACCCAGGTCGCCTGCTCTGTGGGCAAATTTTTTACCAGCTCAGACACCAGGGATCCAAGATACCTTCTATTCTTTATCCATTCATCCATCATTGAACACAGCTTCTTTACATATTTTGGCTATTGTAAATAATTTTGCTATTATTTAGGGGTACAAATATCTTTTCAAACAAATTTTTGTTTATCTGATAACCATTTATTTTCTTTGGGAAAAAAAATGTCTACTTAGGTCCTTCACTTGTTTTTCAATTAGATTATTATGCATGTCTTGCATTAGCAGGCAGATTCTTTACTATTGTACCATCACTATCTGATTAATACTGTACATTCTTAATACTTTTTCCAGGTCTCCATATGCATGCTCTGAGCTGATTCAGTCTCTTGCTCCTTTAAATGAGTCTGTAGCACATATTTTGCAAAGGATTTTGATTATAAGGAGCATCCATTATCATGAGGAGGGCTTTGTTTTTTTTTTGTTTGTTTGTTTGTTTTTTCTTAATGCAAAGCTAACTGTCCCTTATACGGATCTATGACTTTGGCTTCCCTAGAACAGTTTTTAACCATGTGAGTATTTCATTTTAGGCTACAATTTTTAATGTCTTTCTTGCAGGAAATTCCTCAATCCTTATTTTAAATATCCTAAATTTCATAAGGTTATTTTATAGGCTGAATCTTCTTCATTCTAACAAACTCTGTGTACTCTATATCACAAGGACAATAAAGACTATCCATTATGAACTCCTCTGATCTTCAAATTATCTGTAATTTCCTTCTTCCATAAATGCATAAACATCTGTCCTCTATAAATGTGAATCCCTTTGTTTGTTTGTTTATCCCTCAACCTCTCATCTAATCAAACTATGCCTATTCTCACCCTTTCTTCTGTTGCTTTAATTCTCCATATTTTTCCTTTCCTTCAAACTGTAAACATGCCAAAATAAAATAACAAACCTGTCTTTTGACTCTACTTTTCCTTCAACCTGTTGCCACTACATTCTTCTCTATTATAAAATTCTACTTCCTCAACTTCCTTTACTCCTAGAAACATTGCTATCTGATTTCTTTTCACCTCGTTTAATTTTCTCTTTTTATTTAGTGAATAAATAGCTAAATGTAAAGGACTCAATGTCCTTGTCAGATCAAATGCCTTTTTTTTCAAAACTCCCTTCCATGCTAATTTCTGGTTTTCTTTCTATTACACTGAATATTTATTTTCCGACTTCCCCACCAGCTGGTTCTCCTTTCTTTTTGACACTCAAATGCAGATATCCCATAGAGTTCCATAGTTTTTTAAAAGAATATTCTGAGTCTTAGTTGTGGCATAAGGGATCATTTATTTTTCAAGTATGTGGGATCTAGTTCTCTAACCGGGGATCAAACCTGGCCCCCCTCAATGGGAACAGGGAATCTTAGCCACTGGAACACCAGGAAAGACCCAAGCTCCATTCTAGACTGTTTTCTCTTCCTGTGTGGTTTCCAGACTCTACACATAGAGTGCACATACTCCCATATACATTTCAGTCATTGAACTTCACTTTTACTAGCATTATACATTTTGTTTCTAAATGCATTTACCACAAAGAGTTTATGGATTAGAAACAAAAGTACACCACTACCTAGATGATTTCATTCATATTCATCATTTTAAATGCAGCAACTGGAAAACCCATAATTTCTCTCTCAGGTTTACGCATTAGACAAGTCATTGAATAAATAAAACCGATTAAATCAAATCCAAATTCACCATATTCTTTCACTTTATTATTTGGGCTATTCCATGACAGTTTAGAAAGCCAAGCGCCAAAGAATTGGTGCTTTTTATTTTTTGAATTGGTGCTTTTGAACTATGGTGTTTGAGAAGACTCTTAAGAGTCCCTTGGACAGCAAAGAGATCAAACCTGTCAGTCCTAAAGGAAAATAGTCCGAATAGTCACTGGAAAGACTGATGCTGAAACTGAAACCCCAATACTTTGGCCACCTGATTCAAAGAACTGACTCATTGGAAAAGACCCTGATGCTGAGAAAGACTGAAGGCAGGAGGAGAAGGGGACGACAGAGGATGAGATGGTTGGATAGCATTACCCACTCGATTGACATGAGTTTGAGCAGGCTCTGGGAGCTGATGACGTATAGGTGCTGCAGTACATGGGGTCACAAAGAATCAGGCAGGATTGAGTGACTGAACTGACTTGATGATAGTTTATTTCTCTCTCCCTATTTTTTCCTGTAGGTTATGTTTCAGCCCATCCACAAGGCTGAACAAAGCATGATTGTAAACTTAATGGTATATGGCCCAGACAGGAATGAGAAGCAATAAAGAGTGAAGGGGATGGTGGTGATGTAAGCAGGCTAAGCAAGAACATCTGCAGGCCAAAGGCTGCTTACTGATCTCCAGTGTTCAGCCTTTGTGACAGCAGTCAGCATGTGCAGTGCTGGGCCTCTGTCACCATATTTGATGTGAAAACTCTCATTATGGCTAGTAACAGGTTTCCAAAAATGTTTGACCACTTGGTGAACAAATTGAGAAATTGTGAAAGTGAATTGAGGCCCACCTACCCATTTTAAATAGTTTATCTAGATCTGAATATGGAATGATGCTCCGGTGAAGACACAGATAAGCATAATAATCACCAAATTTCTATTTCCTTATCTTCTCTTGAGGGCTTTTTCTTTTCTTTTTTTTTTAGGTAACAGAACTTATTTATTTATTTATTTATTTATTTCATTTATCCCCATTAGTTGGAGGCCAATCACTCCACAACATTGCAGTGGTTCCTGCCACACACCGACACGAACCAGCCATGGATTTACATGTATTCCCCATCCCGATCCCCGCTCCCACCTCCCTCTCGACCCGATCCCTCTGGCTCTTACCAGTGCACCAGATCCGAGCACTTGTCTCATGCATCCAACCTGGGCTGGTGATCTGTTTCACCCTAGATAATATACATGTTTCGATGCTGTTCTCTTGAAACATCCCACCCTCGCCTTCTCCCATAGAGTCCACAAGTCTCTTCTGTACATCTGTGTCTCTTTTTCTGTTTTGCATATAGTGTTATCGTTACCATCTTTCTAAATTCCATATATATGTGTTAGTATACTGTAATAGTAAAAATATGGAACGCTTCACGAATTTGCGTGTCATCCTTGCGCAGGGGCCAGGCTAATCTTCTCTGTATTGTTCCAATTTTAGTATATGTGCTGCCGAAGCGAGCACAGGGCTTTTTCTTAAATCCCTATATATACACAGACTGTCATTACCTTTTAAGCAAATACACAGCATTTTCCCAAAGGAAATGACATTAAAATCACTCTTTGAATTCAGTTCAGTTCAGTTCAGTCACTCAGTCGCATCCGACCCTTTGCGAGGAAATTAGCTGATACCAATTACGGTTACAGTCAGAAAAACAAAGCTCAGTTTTGAAGGTAAATTATTGCTTGCTCAAAGTAAATTACTTCTTCCAGAATATACGACCATAATTTAACATTACTAATGTTCTAGACAATGGTAATTTAATAATATGAGACACTTACTTCTAATAGAGCATATTTTCCTAACATTATCTGCTTCTAGGATTAGGAACAATATTAACTTTTAACCATGTTATGAGCAGTCTGCCAAGTATATACCAAATTCAATTTCTGCCCACTAGAAAAGTAAAGTGCAAATTAAAATAATATACTTGATGTTAGTAATTCCAATATTTTGTATTATGCTATTGAGTTACAGACACATACTTCAAAATCATTAAACCTTTAAACAAAATTCTGATTTTACTTACTCATGTTATATTGGCTCTTTTATTTGAAGAGATGCTGGAGATGAGGATGTTGGAGACCTCTGCAAGCAAGTCTTCATGAACCAGAGCACTTAGAAAATAAAATAAAATGAGCAAAAGGTCAATTTCAAAGCCCAAGGATGGTTAGGGGGAGAAAAATGATACTCAAAACTAAGAAAAAAACATGGAAGGATCATGTACAAACATTCCAAAGCTCAATGATATACAGTGAAGGAGACACCAAGGAAATTGAGAGTTTAAAGAAGGAAGGAGTAAATATCAAGTCAAATGCAGGAGCTATTTGAGGTCCCATAAAATAAGGGCTTAAAACTTTTTTTTCTTTTTTTTCCCAGCATGTAGGACATGAATAAGTTTTAGAAAATAAAATGCACTAAGTGATTTTAGAAAAGTAAATGTGTTAGAGGGAAACCAGAGACCTATTTTCTATGGATCATAGAAAATGTGAAAGGAAAGGCTTTTTAGTTTTTTCTTTGGTTGGCTGTTTAGTGTAGAAAGAGATATCTAACAACATTATATTGAAATAGTTTGTTGAAGTTTCTAACTCCTTCACCGTCCAGCTTTTCAAAGGTAGGAGACATTTACTTTTTCTTTTGGCCTTGAATTAGAGTTGAGTATTCAGTCATTCTTTAATGAGTTTTCTGTGAATATTAAGGAAAGGAGAAAGATATACATGGCTAAAATTATTTATAAGAAAAACTGTTGCTTATCAATCAGAAGGCAAACTAAATGACCCTTATTGTCTTTTATCTTGCAGTGTCTTTAAATTTTTTTTTGCTTTTAATATAACAGAGGATCAACTAGTATTAACAACTATAGGCATATTTATAATACTTAAGTCTCCTAGGAATATCTTTGCTTCTACTCTCTTTATTAGCTTTAAAAAAAAAAAAAGATAATTAAAATGCTTCCACCTGAAATTTCCCCCAGTGTCAGCACCGCTAAATATAAAGCAAATGCTTGTCTATAACAAAACATAAGTAAAAGCTTTCAAAGTTTTGGACCATTTTTTTTTTCTACATTATATTAGATGCCTGTCACACACTATGTATTTTCAATTTTAAATAAATAATATACTATTGTTATTTTAAATAAATACTATACATTTTTATTTAAATAAATGAAATTTAAATGAATTTAAATTATCTCACTACATGACCTTCATCTGACCATCTGGCTGTATCTAGCTCAATCACAGCTCTTTACAATTTAAATTTACATTATTTTGTAACTGGATTGAAAAAAAAAAAACTTAGAAGCCCTAACTTTGAGGTAGATCTATTTTACTCATCATGGTTTTTTCTTCTAAGATCATATGAAGAGGAAAAAGGAAGAGGAGGAGGATGAAGAAGAAACGATAGCATTTTCAACGGTCAACAACAACAAAGAGTCCATTGTCATATAGTCTGGAAATAGGAACATCTGATCACCACTTATAGGTAAGGCACACTCTGTACCAAGTCCCAGCTATTGACAACTGTAATGGCAGAAAGTAATCTGATAAGCTGTGACTAGTGATATATATGATAATTTTCTAAAGACACATTTATTAGGCCCCAGAATCCTTACAGCACTGATGTGACCTGGCTGAAGTAGGTTGGAAGAGGTCACTCACTGTAATCCATTAATGTTCATGGATACCACAGTAGCCTCTGAGCTGCACTTTCTTCTTACATCCTTAGTCTATAATCTGTTTTTCTCCTAGAAGCCAGAGTGATTTTTTTTTTTTTTAATGAACTGTCATGACAGCATTCCCTTGTGTAAAACCCTGAGCATCTTCGATAGAGGAAAAATTTCCAGGTTTTGCCTGTCTCTTGAAGTCCTACTTGCTTAGTTCTAGGCTCCCAAGGTACTGATTCCCAGCTTGTTTCAGCCACACTGATCCTTTTCTCTCATTATTTGGATTAGCTAAATTCTTTCCCCTTCTATCTGAAAATTGTGTCCAATATTTGCAAAATAGTTTCATTCTTAGTACTCATATGTTAAAGATACTTTGTAACCATCTAGTCTAAACCTGTCACATTCTTTCATCATTTGAATAATTTTCTGCCAAATAATCACTATCAGGTGATGCTTTTTATGTTTACTGTGTGTTTTCTTCCTCTCAGTACAAGCGATGATAATGGAAAAATTGTTTTTCTTGTCCACTGATGCATCCTCAATGAGAACAAAGAATGACACCAAATGAGCATTTGACACAGATACCCAGAGTGAAGGAGTCCATGTATAATTCACTTACACTTAGACAGTGGGACAGTGTAGCAAATTAATATAGGCATTCAGGTTCAAGATGGTGAGGTAGGAACTTAAACTCACATCCTCCCACCCACTCTAAATATACAGCTATGCATAAACAATTTACTCTGAAAGAGAACCAAAAACTAATTAAGTGACTCCTACACACTGGACAAACAAGAAGAAAGTCCCCATCAAAACCAGTAGGAAGGCTGAGACAGTCCTACTGTAAACTCCACTTTCAGTCATTGATCCACAGGCAGAAGGGAACTCACAAACCCAGAATTCTCCTTGAGGAGTGAAGAGTTTAAACCTCACCTCAGGTACCCCAAATTTTAGGATCTGCACCTGAGAGATGATCCCCAAAGCATCTATCTTTGAAAGACTGCAGGGCCTGAGTCCACAAGACTAACAAGGCTACAGTGAGCTAAGAAAGCATTTTTAGAGTTTGTGCCTGTGTTCCTACCCTTGCAGGGAGCATTGCAGAGGTAGCTAACTGAAAAGCACGCGGACTTTCTGTTAATAAGGCTTATGTGCTTATCTTGAAGCACTGGCCTGAGGGGCAGGCATCTAACTTAATACACATGTAGATGCCTACTGAAATACACTCTGGGGATGAATGCTGACTGGCATCATCTTTGTGATCTCCTTCTGGCTTGCTCCAAATTGCCAGTATATCCTAGAAAGGAGCTCGTACTCACTGCTGGTGTCCTGACTTTTGTGGCTGACACCCACAGGACAACTCTAGATCTCCTGACTCTGTTGGCCAGTGGAACTAATTCTTGTGAATCCCACAGAAAAGTATCAAATAGAGAAAGAGTTTTTAATCAGCTACTACTCCCCAGGGCAAAGCAGAGAAGCAATAGATTGAGGTTACAGTCTCTCTATGAAGAGGCCTATTGACTCATCTTCAAAGCTGTGTCCTGAGGGTCAGGCTGCTAATTAAACATGCATCTAATGGCTAGTTGTGATCCCCTCCAGACTTGGAGTGTGGGTGCTATCTTCACACACACTGTCTCTCAGCACACTGCAGAGACCCAGTATCTCCTGGAGGGAAGACTGCATGTCCTGGTGCCCCAGTTTTTACATCTGGCATCCTAGCTTTTGTGGCTGCTGCTGATGGGATCCTGCTAGATCACCTGGCTCTAGTGGCCAGTGAAACTTGCATTCCTAGGTCCCATGGGATTGTAACATGGAGAAAGAATTATATACCAACTACCACCAATAGGACAAAGTTAAAACAGTAGACTAAAATATGCCTGCAATTTCTCTGTGAAGAAGTCTATTTGCTCTTTTGTAGTTTTGGTCTGATGGGCAGGTTTCTAGTCTGGCACATACCCAGAGGCTTACTTAGGCATTCTCAAGGGAGGAAGGTCAGTGGATACTCTCACTGGTATCTCTCAGAAAGGAACTTGTACCCACATGTGACATCCCAATTTTTTGCAGCTGAAACTCAAGGAATACCTCTAGATAGCCTGGCTCTGGCAGCCAGTGGTACTTACATCTGAGATCCTACAGGACCATATATATGAATATACTTTAAAATCTGTTGCCTGAGGGTCTGACTTTCAATCAGCCTGAATCTAGGTGCTGACTAAGAACCTCCCCACTGGGATACTGACATGTTTTGACATATACTCAACTACAAAGAGCCATTATGAATAAAGTAGGCTGCTCGTACAATTTCAGAAGTTTGAGAAATAATCACTTGCTAGGACAATGTTGAACAAAATTCATCTTCTATATGGGTCCACTCCATCAAGACTAGGATAGGTAGTTATTTTATCTAATCCCTAGAAACCAACACAGAGAGCCAAGAAAAATGAAAAACAGAAGAATATGTTCCAAGGAAAGAACAAGATGAAACCCTAGGAAAAGTTCTTGATGAAACGGAGATATGCATTTACCTGACAATAGTTGTGAAGAGGCTCACTGAACTCAGGCAAAGAAAGAATGAGCAAAGGGAAAACTTCAACAAAGAGATGGAAAGTACCAAATAAAAGTCACAGAGATGAAGAATACAATAACTGAACTGAAAAAGCTAGATGAAGCAAAAGAAAAAAAAAATCATTGAAAATGAAGATAGAGAAGCGGATCTCAGCCTATCAGAACAACAAAAAGAAAAAAGAATGAAAAAAGTAGCTTAAGCGATTATGGCACAGAATCAAATGAAGCAACATTTGTAACACAGGAGTCCTAAAAGGAGAAGAAAAGAGAGAAAATGTATTTGAAGAAATAATGGTTGAAAATTTTTTTAACTTGGGGAAGAATACAAACATCAAGATCCAGGAAGGCAAGAGAGTTCCAAATAAGAGGAACCCAAAGACATCCACACCAAACACATTATAATTAAAGTGCCAAAATTTAAAGACAAGGAGAGAAACTTAAAAGCAGCTCGAGAAAACAACTCATTACGTACAAGGCAACAGCCATAAAACTGTAAGTTTTTAAAGCAGAATCTTTGAAGGCCAAAAGAGAGTGGCATGATATTGCTAAACAAATAAACAAACAAACAACAACAAAAAAACAAAACCCCTGAAACTGCTAACCAAGAATAAATACCCCACAAAATTGCCATTCAGAGTCAGAGAAATAAAGTGTTTTCTAGTCAAACAAAGAAGAAAAGCATCCATCACCACCAAACCAGCCTTATAAGGCAAGTAAAAGACTTGTTTAAGCTGAAACTAAAGGACACCAATAACAGGAAAACAAATGAACAATAAATCTCCTAGTAAAAGTAAACATATAGTAAAATTCAGAACAATCTAAGGTAAAGGTGATATGCTAATCACTTACAAAGCTAGCATAAAAGGTAAAAGACAAATTTAGTAAAGAT